TTGGTTTTATAATTTAATTACATGTTGCTTCCTGGTATTGTTTCTTCATTTAGCATTGAAACAGCATTACAACCATGGGTGTGTTTCTGACTAATTTCCCATCTCATTTTAGACATTCTTCTGATAAAGTATCTAAACTAGAAGGTCAAGTCGAGTCTTATAAAAAGAAGCTAGAAGACCTTGGTGATTTGAGGCGTCAGGTGAAACTCTTGGAAGAAAAGAATACTATGTATATGCAGAACACTGTCAGTCTAGAGGAAGAGTTAAGAAAGGCCAATGCAGCGCGAGGTCAGCTTGAGACATATAAGAGACAGGTAAGAGAACACAAAGTTCTTCATGGTTCTGGTTAGCAGGGCCTCCACCACAACACTTACGAACTCTACCAATCACTCCTCAGCCTTTTGGCTAAGATCAATCAAGTGAAGACTACCTAGTTTTGTTTTCATGATTCTTAACCTTTGACTTACTATATTTCTTTTTTATTTGTGTGTGTGTGTGCGCGCGCGCGCGTGCTTGCGCATGCGTGTACATGCCATGAAGTGCATGTGGAGGTCATAGGACAACCTGCAGAGGTCATCTCTTCCTTTCACCATGTGTGTCCTGGAGATTGAACTCAGATCATCAGGCCTGTGGTAGATGCCTTTGCCAACTCAGATACCCTCCTGGCCCAGCGTTTTCTCAGTTATATTCATTTCTATTTCTGTTGCACTTAACTCTTATTCTATAGGTCTTGTCCAAACGTAATTAATTAGTATCTGTAGCAGATCCTTCATAAAAATCTTTATATTTGGAAATACCGTCCTGGCCCAGCGTTTTCTCAGTTATATTCATTTCTATTTCTGTTGCATTTAACTCTTATTCTATAGGCCTTATCCAAATGTAATTAATTAGTATCTGTAGCAGATCCTTCATAAAAATCTTTATATTTGGAGGCTAGAGAGATGACTCAGTAATTAAGAACACTTATGTTCTTGGAGAAGACCCAGCACTTTATCAGGCATCTCACAACTGCCTGTAACTTGGATTCATTTGAACTTTGCAGGCACGCGCACACACACATGCATAAATAAAAATTTTTGAATTACATTTTTTTAAATTTATTATTTCTATATTTTTTTACGTGTATGCATGTATTGCCTGCATGTAGGTAAGTGCACCTGTGTTGAGCATAAATAAAAATTTTTGAATTACATTTTTTTTAATTTATTATTTCTATATATATATTTTTTTTTTTACGTGTATGCATGTATTGCCTGTGTGTAGGTAAGTGCACCCGTGTTGTGCAGTGCCTGTGGAGGACAGAAGAGGCTGTCGGATCCCGTGGAATTAGAGTTATGGACAGTTGTTAGCTGCCGTTTGGGTGCTGGGATTAGAACCTGGGTCTTCTGCAAGAACAACCATTGTTCTTAACCTCTGAGCCATCTCTCCAGCCCCAAATTAAATTTTTTTAAATCTTAAAATTTTGACATATTGCCTAACAGGACTGGCCTATTAGCTCACTGAATAAAGACTCTTGCCCCAAAGGTTGTCAATATTAAGTTCAGTCCCTGGAAACCACATGGCAGAAGGAGAAAACCAAGTCCCACAAATTGTCTTCTTGAGTTCATAGATGCTGTGGTCTTGGTCTCTGTCTCTGTCTGTCTGTCTGTCTGTCTCTCTCTCTCTTTTTCTCTCTCTCCAAATGTAATGCTTCTTTTTAAAGAAATCTGTGTGTGCGTGTATGTGTGTGCGTGTGTGTGTGTGGCTGTGGTCTTGGTCTCTGTCTCTGTCTGTCTGTCTGTCTCTCTCTCTCTTTTTCTCTCTCTCCAAATGTAATGCTTCTTTTTAAAGAAATCTGTGTGTGCGTGTATGTGTGTGCGTGTGTGTGTGTGTGTGTGTGTGTGTGTTTTGGTGTGGACATGAGTGTGCCACAGTGCCTGTTGGAAATGAAAGGACAGCCATGGATGTCAGTCTTTACCATCCACCTAGTTTGAGACAGAGTCTTTTGCCTTTTGCCACTATGTACGTCGGGCTAACTGGTCCACGAGCTTCCTGTGGAAGCACTGGGCTTAGAGATGAATGGTATTGTATCCAGCTTTACATGGGTTCTGGGGATTTGAATTCAGGTCCATACAAGCCCTTTTATTCACTGAGTTATCTTCCCAGCTCTGTGTTTGTTTGTTGTTTGTTTTGGACTGTGGGTCAGGTAGCCCAGGCTTGCTTCAAGCTTACTATGTCACTGAGGCTGGCCCTTAATTACTGATCTTCCTGCCTCCTCCTGTGTTCTGGGATTATATGCATTGTTACTCTTGGCTCTGCTAATTTGGATTTTTTTTTTAAGAGTGAGGCATTAAGTCACTGGCGCTTCATGATTCAGTCACATAAGAACTGGTATTTGTAAATGATTTTGTTATTTTTAGACCTTGAAGATGATTTACTTCTGATTACTCTTTATACACAATTCTGTATTTTCATCCGCATTATTTTAAGTTGTGTTCAAGGCATGTTGTAAACATTTTTGTGCAGCTTACAGTTACAAATTTTTCTGTGTAGGGGTTATGCATGTGTCTATGTTTATGTGTGTGCACACATGTGCTTGTGCGGAGGCCAGATGTTGATATCAGTTGTCTTCCTCAATTGCTCTCCACCTTATTTTTTGAGATGGGGGCCTCTCACTGAGCCTGGAGCTCATCCATTTGGCAAGGCCAGCCAGTGCTTCCCCAGTGCTGGGATTAGGGGCACACCCCACCACATCCAGTTTCGTGAGTGGGGGCTAGGTGTCTGCATTCAGCTCTTGCTTACGCAACAAGCTCTTCTCTTACCAAGCACTTCCTCAGCTCCACAAGTTTTAGATTTAAAAGAAATTCTTCTCTCTCTCTCTCTCTCTCTCTCTCTCTCTCTCTCTCTCTCC